ACACCTGGGGGGACACACCTGGGACACACCTGGGACACACCTGGGGGTGACACAGGTACTGCTGCACCCGCTGCCTGGGCACCCACCAGGACACCAGGTGAGCATCACACCTGGGACACACCTGGGACACACCTGGGACACACCTGGGGGGACACAGGTACTGCTGCACCCGCTGCCTGGGCACCCACCAGGACACCAGGTGAGGGACACACCTGGGACACACCTGGGGGGACACACCTGTGTCGACACACCTGTGTCACCTGTGGGGACAGGCGAGGGGGACACACCTGGGACTCCCTGACCCCTCCCCTTGCCCCCTCACAGGTGCCTGAAGTGGACGGTGTGACCCCACCCACCAAGATGGCCGCCCTGACTCCTCCCACCAACATGGCCGCTGAGAGGTCTCTCCCCATCATGGCTGCCATGACCACACCCACCAAGATGGCCGCCATGGCTCCTCCCACCAACATGGTTGCTGTGACCACGCCCACCAAGATGGCCGCTCTGACTCCTCCCACCAACATGGCTACCATGACCACGCCCCCCAAGATGGCCACCCTGACCCCTCCCATCAAGATGGCTGCTGTGACCACGCCCACCACTATGGCCACCATGACTCCTCCCACCAACATGGCTGCTGTGACCACACCCACCAAGATGACCACTCTGACTCCTCCCACCAAGATGGCCGCCATTTTCTCACCCAAGATGGCCACCATTTCCCCAACTAAGATGGCTACCGTGGCCCCGCCCACCAGCATGGCCGCCATTTCCCCAACCAAGATGGCCACCGTGGCCCCACCCCCCAAGATGGCTGCCATTTCCCCAACCAAGATGGCCGCCGTGGCCCCGCCCACCAAGATGGCCGCCATTTCCAAAACCAAGATGACCGCCATTTCCCCAACCAAGATGACCGCCATTTCCCCAACCAAGATGACCGCCATTTCCCCAACCAAGATGGCCGCCGTGGCCCCGCCCCCAAGATGGCCGCCCCTTTCTCAGGCCCCAAAATTCGCCTTTTTCCTACCAAAACCTTTGGATTTTTATTGGGGGGGGTCTACGGGGGGAGGGGGCGGGGCCTCGGGAGAGGGGGCGGGGCCTCGGGAATGGGGGAAATCCAGGAAAAATTGGAGCCTGGGCGGGGCTTCTTAAGAAAGGGGGCGGAGCCAAGATGGCGGCTGGCCCCGCCTGCGAGCTCTGATTGGTCCGTCTGCAGTCCTTGGGGGGCACCGAGGTCTGATTGGCTGCGGGGGGGAGGCCCCGCCCCCTTGGGATAGAACCCCGCCCATTACAGAGTCAAGCCACGCCCCTTGGACCAAAGCCACGCCCCTTGTGGCCCCAAAAACTCCACCTCTTGGATCGGGGTTATGAGGTGGAGCCCCGCCCATCAAAGCCGGCCACACCCCTTATTCAGACAGGCCCCGCCCCCTCCAGACAAGGCCCCGCCCCTTGGGTCCACCCCCACCCCTACAGA